CTACTGAAAGCACAGTTTGAAAGCAGTGGGCAAAAAGAGAAGAAAAACCAACCATGTTCCAATGTATTATTTTAATCTTAAGAAGAAGTTAAAAATCTACCTTGATTTTCAAAATATAGGTTTTACTTACAAGGTAAAAAATTCAAATTTATTTTATAGTGAGCACAGCTTAGGAAATTCTAATTAGGCAACATATGCAAATTCAGATTGTCAGCTGGAGACACCCCACAAAACTAATTATGACCTCAAAAGGCACACTTTTGACAAAGAATGTTTGTTTCTTTTGCAATCACAAAGATTTACATCATCTTATTGAAAATAATGATAAAAGAAAAAAATTTTTGAAGTTGTCAACTTTTACAGAAAATATTTTGCACAGCTGTAATACACAATAACATTTTCTGGTATTCAGATAAACACATGCCATGTATTAGTCTAACACACCTAGAAAAGTGTATATTCTGGCATTCTTATAAGAAAGAAATATTTTAAATGAAAAAGTTTTCCTGAGTTGCTATGAGGAAAGATCTTTGTGAAGAGATATTTCTGGATTTTCTTCCTTCTGTATATAACTTAAGAGTATGCATAGCAAGTGTGGGAGAGAGATCCTCAGCACTTAACTTACTTGTTCTGGGGTTTTTTATTTGTTTAAGGAATTAATATTAGTCTAGATTAATTTATGGTGAAAATTTAAGCCAAGTTATACCACCAATAAATTTAGTCTTATGAGTCAAACGTGAAAAAACCAAAACAAAATGAACAATCAAAAAGCCCACCACATTTTTAAAATCCAGTTGAGATGGTTGTACAGTTTCTGAGATGCCCATGGATGGGTGATTTTAAAGCTTCAGATAAACTTAGTACAACATCCTTACATAAAACAGAAAATAATTTAAGCAAACAAAAAACCCCACTGTCTGGAGTTGTTAATCGTAGCACCTAATGGCAATAATATGCAAGAATGAATCAATGTAGGGTTTTTTCCCCTCTTGCATTATGAATACTGGAAATGTGTTAAGTTTTTTAAATGACATCTTGTATAAATAATGGAGGATCTTAGTGGAACAGAAATTTGTCAGATGATAAAGCTAAGCTTTATGTTTACAAAGCAGGATTTAGTAATGAAATCAGACTGTGGAGTTACCCCTGATTGATTTAGTATACCAGATGAATGCTTCAGATACAGTTGTTTTACTGGAAAGATCCTGGGGAAATACAATCATGAATACTAACAAGATCCATTAATTTACAAATGCATTCTTATTGGCTTGATAAACAAATTCTTGGTGCTTCAATGACCCCCCTCAAAGAGATGATACATAAAAGTGGTAGTATGTTTTGGTTTTAGTAATGGAAGAGTTTGGATGTTTTTGAACAACTTTTAATGTGAAATACCCATTAGCCATCTTACAAGCAGACTGGCAGACTCGAATTTCAGTTGATATAAAATATGGATTGATACTTTAGTAACTGTTTAGAATGGCATCACCTCCAAAGTAGTACAGAAAATTTTGTTCTATTACATTAGCCAAAAGACAAAGTGCATCCTTGGACTTCAGCAAATAGGAAATTTAAAATATCAGATTCTTTTTTGAAACTGTTTAAGAGGATTATAGCCAATTATTTTTTTTGTGTCAGTGCTGTTACTGCTTAACTAGATTTGCCACAACAGCCTCGATTCTGGCTTCAGATCCTTCTACCACTGTAATAAATCTGGAGCAAATCCATTACAGTGATTTCACACTAGTTTAGCAGGGATCAGAATCTAAACTAGTTTCCTCTTGCTTCAGTTCTCCTGAGTATCACCATTGCACAGGCTGTTTCCAAACTTGATGGAGATTTGCATTCAGTGGTTTCTCACAGAATTCACAGGCATAATCCAAAAGATGCACTTTCTCTAGTCCCCTTCTAACTGGCATTGGTAATTGTCATAATAAGGCATTTCCTAAACAGAACAGTTTTATTCTTAAAGAATATAGACTGTAATTGTTGTTTGCTGCAAACATTTACTAGTGCCTTATTTATACAAGCTTTTGTTTAACTGTTCCTCACATGAAGTCCTGCTAAAGATCTTGTATCTAGTACTGAGGTATACAGCAAACTTCTTAAGTAAGAAGACTAGATATTGTGATGTTTACAGTTTAGTACCTAAAACTAGAGTCACAAAAAGACAAAAACTGATCGCGAGATGTTCATCCAAACCACAAGCACATCTAAACCAGAGCATTTTTATCCAATCCCAGCTCTAGAACTGAATTTCACAAATTACTCTTGGCTTCATTATCAATTTATCTACAACACAGTTGAATTATTCTGTCCTGCCAAGGTATAAAACTAAAATCTGAATTCCACCAACACCTGGCTGATATTAAAACCATAACCACCGAAATTCCTGTAAGCACAGGTAGAAGTACAACCACATAGTGGCTACTTTACAGATCTTGCACGTTAAGTCTCAAGTCGCTTTGTGCCAGCCACCACTTTTTTCTGCCTGAAGTATGAACTAGTATCCACAACTACTCTCACCTTCTCTTTGCAGACCAGAAAGGCATAGATTATGTGCATAATGGCTGTGGCGGTACCCTAACAGGAACAGATTTACGTTTTACACCATACAGGGCCAGGTGTTCCTCCCAGTAAATTCAGGTTCTGCTGGTAGTTCAGGGGAGAACTTAAGAAACAAGTAGAAAAGCTTCAGAATACTACTTTTAAGACCTACCCATTATTCACTATACTACTAGATACCTAAATTCTACTACATAAAAATTGAACAACTAAGCTCTGTGTTACATGCCATGCCATTCTCCATCTACAGAGAAATCCAGACAAAGAAATTACAGGCATTTTTTTGTGACTTTGGTGTGTACTTTGTGAAAATAGTGTAGGCTTTCTTATCAAGATGGTAAAGACATCAGCTGGCTATTCCGGTTCTTCAAACTGAAGTCCTAAATATCCCTATCTTGCATTATCATGCACTTCACTCCTGAGAATGACCTTATAGAGTGCACTAGTTATCTTAAAACGATTTTGGTCTTCAAAATTAACTCTTCATTTTAATACAAAAACATTGACTAAATGTATAGTGTGTTTCCAGACCGTAATTCCGTAATTTCTGGCACTGTATTTTTCTTCCACTCTTNTTGACTAAATGTATAGTGTGTTTCCAGACCGTAATTCCGTAATTTCTGGAACTGTATTTTTCTTCCACTCTTACCCTTTCTTTATATATATATATATATATATATATATAAAATCATCGTTTTTTAGTCACTGTTATTTCAGTGCAATCTATGTAAAAAAACCAGAATGAATCCTTGGTATGTTTGAAATTCACAATGATACCTCCTGAGTTCAAGGCACCAGTAAACATACTCCACTTTTAACACTGCAGGGTGTAGTAGCTCAACTGATTCTGTAGGATAATTGCTTTTCTTAGCTGTAGTTTTTCACTTTAATTACTGCTGGATGTTACTTATGAATTTCTCAGTATTGAATCAGGTTGCTCTTGCATCATCACTTTGCACAAATGCCTTAGAAGCTTGCCAAACTAGCATGTAAAAGAGACCTCATTCAAAATAGTTTAGACAAGAAAAAAAGAACTCATGTGCTTTACGCTCTGTGGATGCTGAAGTCAATAGATAAACTCCAGTCTTATAATGAAGTGGAGCTTTCTGTTGCACCTCCTGTTTAGATTAGTTCTGCAAGGGCTTCAAAGAAAAAATCTGTGAGAATTGTGTGTTTAAGTTATCTTGTGATCATGAATTTACAGAGACTCTGAATGAAGAATCCAGCTGTATTGAATGGTTCAACACAGTAACTTAAATTGGGCTTTCATGAAAACACATTTATATTCCATATTCATATGATACAACTGCATTAATATGCTAAAGTTAGGTTTTTCATAAAATTCAAAAAACATGCAGGACAAAAATGAAGCTACTGCAGCCTATTTCTGAATTAAAATCAGATTTTAAGACCATAATTGAATTCTGGCTGCAAATTATTCTGCTACAGTAAGGGAGTCAGCTCTGTTTTGTTCACAACAAATTCTACACTGCAATTTTACAGGAAGACTCAAAAATTCTTTTAAATCCTGTAAAATGAACATGATCATTTCCCCTTTAAGAACATAAAATATAATAAAATTGCTGGCAACTGCAGCATTCCAGAGGATTATTTTGTGTTCTTTTATGTTGCATGGCCACAAACGTGAACAATACAAATTACATGTATTGCAATGGTGTTGTGTGAGCACATTGTGGGCATTGCATCTCACACAGTGATATTCATCCCTCCTGCAGCAGCATAAAATATAAGGATAGAGAGAAAGGGGCAAAAAGAGCTAGAGACAAACTAACTTGGATCAGCCTGAGTTAAGGGTGCTGGCCTAAAAGCTCTGGGCTGCATTCTTATTTTGTTCCTTTCCCTGCAAAATCCTGTATTTCTTATGCATCCGCCTTGCTCATCTTTATATGAGTGAACTCCCATGACTGTTTTCAGACTGAGGAGGGAATCTTTAACAACTACTAACCTACGCTTAACAGAATAAAAGAAGCATGAATAAAAGCCCAATGATGTCTATGTAGCAGGTACTAAGTAGTAAGGCAGTATTTGAAACAGGGCTCTTCCTTGTACATTACAAATTCCTAGTGTAATATAAGCAAGGATTTACAACACAGCACATGCCTGCAAATTGCACATCACATGCGGCCTTTGCATATGTTCTTTTAATGTACAAATATAGTCAGACAGACACCATTCTGAACTTTTGAACTAATAAAATCATGAAAACTAAGCACAAGTATCAGGCAATCAAACTTTACAAATTAATCACACTCAAATGAGGAAAGGAATTCCCCCCAAAAGTGATAACTATTTAAATTTTATAAGTGAGAGAACCTGGAATTATTTTCGAATGTAACTTTGAGGGAATTAATGGGGAATTTAATGTGGAAGGAATCCTTCTGTTAAAGATTAAAGGCAAGCACCAATATACGTAGCGTTGTTTAAGCAAGAAGCTCTTCAAATGGAAGAGTGTGGACCAACATTTTATTGACTGACTTGCTAACTAATATTTTCAAGTGGATGTGCTCAATATTCAATTACGTCCAAACAGTCTCTTAAATTACTACACAAGCACTCCTTATTTGTAGTTCCTCAAATGACAAATTCAGTATTCAATATTCAGTGTTTTTCTTGAAACTTGACAGAAAAGTAGGATGCTTCTGGAAGTGACAGCTGTATCTTTCTAAAGATCAGAGGGCTGTTCTCCTCATCTAACTTGTCCTCTTACCGTCTCCTACTTCTTCAGTAACTCAGTCCAGGTTTACACTTGTCATTGCCTGAGGAACAAAGAAAATGAAGTATTTTTAGCTACCTGCTGTTTCTGGAAACTGCTGGCTGCTCAACATGTTTTTGCCCTATGAGACATCCCTCATCTAATGAGATACTAAAAGTATAAATGGAGGTCAAACACATAATTCCAGGTGCCTCACATAATTTTTTACCTGGAAAGACACATATGCAAAATCTGGAAAAAGAGATGGGGGATGAGGAGAATGCTTGGCAACCTCTAAATGAGGTAGAGGTTCTTCTGTTGATATATGAGTTCTGGTGAACTCATTCTAGGGTAAACCATTCTTTACCACACAACCAGATTTGCAATGACTAAAATGTGTGGCTGACTTTAGCATGAAAAGGTAAGAGGTCAAACGCCCCTTGTCTTTATGAATTGAACTAATTTCTTTACTACGTAAGAGAGTTGGAAGAAGCAGGTGGAAAAAGAAAATACATTGTCTCCTCTTTTGAAAGAACAGGCCAGGTTTCTACTAGAAATAGAGCTGATAAGGTTTCTAAAAAAAGGCAAAGATCTTAAGAATCCATATTATATTAATTCTCACAAGATGGTGCATACCTGTGGGAACTTTGGACTCAGCTTAGTATCAACTTTGTGGCAAACTTATCAGACTTCTCAGGAGAGCTCCTCTTCCTCCATCTCACTATACTCAAGGCAGCTGTGACATCTGCTTTTAACAGTCTCCAGAGTCTTCAAAGACAATTCTAAACTAGATTATAAGAATTTTCCCTGTGGAAAGAAAAAATGAATGGCAGGTCCACTGAGGACCTTCTTCACCAAAGAATTTAGTACAAATATTAAATTACATAAGAAATCAGAATCAAAACCACAAGGCATTCTCATTTTTTTCAACATTAAAAAAAAAGATAATTGGAAAATGAATAAGAGGCTAATGCAGTATCTCAGATGAATGAAACTGAAATTTATAAATCAAAATACTCTTACTTTTGTGGACAGGACAGTCCCCACATCTAAACTGCAGCTCTCAATATGACAGAGATACAGTGAAGAATCAATGAACCACTACTTTTGATATGCTGTACAAAGGTTTCAGCATTCAAAGTCTTATGTCCATCTGTCTGTATAGAGCTTAAAAGTTAGGCAAAAAAATGGGATTCTGTGTATATTTATACAGCCCTTACTGCCAAATAATCATTAAAAACAAGACACTTCTCACAGCATTTGCGTCTTCAGGTGTCACCACAGAGATCTTAGTGAACAAATCTGGAGAAACGCAGAAAAGCAACATCTGTGGTGACAAGTAAGCCAACTAAAATAAACTGTAAGCCCATTTTCCAAGTGGTAGTTGATACAGTAAAAGTATTCAGATGCCCCCATATCCAGCTCAGATTCCAAATGTCTTTGTATCAGATTCCAAATGTCCTTGTATCAGATTCCAAATGCAGAGTTGAGGCTCCTCACACACATACATACAGAGACATATCATCAAAGAGAAAATGAATATCTATGCCAGGAGAGCTTGGAACATCTCTAGCACAATGACACACTGCTGTCTTACTCTTAAGACTGACAGGAAATAGTACAGCTTTATGGAAAGGGCTTCATATCCTTCACCAGAGAATAGGAATATTCTCACAAAGTGATTCAGAATAACGAATAACAAAAGTGAACTCCTGGCTGCAGCACAGAAGTACATCAACATCACCATCCCTGATAGCACACACCTTTTCATTCCCACATTGCATGGGTGCCAAAGCTCACTTTTTTAAAAAAACAAAGGGCAATGTTTTTCTCTGGATGAAACATTCCAGAGAGGATTATACCTTTTTTTTTTTAACAGAGAGAACAGCAACCACTGCCCCAATTAGCTCTTCCTTTTCCATGCTCCACTTTTCCATTAACAAATGTTTGTGCCATCTCTTCCTCATCTGTCTTTTTTCTTTTCAAGCTATTTCCTACATGCTGTTTCTGAATCCCTTGCTGCTTTGTACACAGGGATGAATCCCTGCAACTTGGATTGTTGGTGCTGTAACATCCTACAAGGTTACTTCCACTAGCTTTACCTGAAGTGCTAAGAAGAAGGAAGTGCACGCACACAATGTTTTAAGACACACAAATTACTGTGTAGGAAGACAAGGGAATTCAGGGCAAAAGCAGAATGCAGGCACTACTGGAAAAATACCTGGGTGGGGAAAGGGTTTGATGTCATACTCCTCAATCCGATTTCACCTTGGCACATCCAAAACCTGTATCAGGATGTAGGAGCTCAATTTTGCAAACCTTGCACAACTAACACAAGCCTTGCCTCCAGGTATTTTGCTTGCTGTTGTCCTGGAGTCACATGCCAGGTTAACCTGCCAAGCTAGGCAATAACAAGCAGGTCAAAACCACAGACAACTTCAAGCCGCATAACCTCAACTTTATCCTCCAGGTGGCGTTCGGCCACACAAGGGGTCTAATCTGGGTACTGTCATCTTGTGATTGTTAAAATGGTCCAAGCTCACCATTGTATATAACAACACCACCTTCAAAACAACAAATGAAGAAAGAAGATCTCTCTGCAAACAAATTTTAAATCTCCGACTGTGACTTTGGCACTGCATTGTATTTTCCTACACAATCTAAAAGTAGCAGGAGTCCTTTATAGTTTGCAGAGCAAAAAGGGTATGTACTATATAAGTTTACTACTATACCTCTTCTGATGGAATAAATATCAAATAGAAAAATCTGTCTAAACATATTTTGAAAACTGCATGGCCAGCTTATGCAGTAGCTAGATATGTGGCAAGGTTACAGTGTTACTCTCTAAGGAGAATACAATTAATATGCTTATATATTTTGTTCAATTCAAGCACTGTGTAGTCTCCAAGTTCTGCTATGAGAAGTATGGATAACTTCTCATTATCCTTCCTATTCCAAAACACAGTATTTATCACAGATATGTACAATACAGCAGCATAGCTTAGGCCTGTTATATAGGTCAGTATCTGCAATGCACACAAGAACATAGTTTGCCACTGCAAAGGAGAGTGGCTGCAAAATCTATTTTGGATAATCCAATTTATATTTGAGGAAATCAATGTGTGGTCATTTCTAGAACTGTGAATATAAGGCAACTGCTGCATGCTTGTATATTTGATAAGTTTTATTATACTATATCCTTATATGAATGCCTATGCAGTGTAAATGCTTTAATATAAGATACTGAATGGTTTTTTTACACATTATTTTCTAAACGTTGCTACATTTTACTGCATGTTTATTCACTTTTTTGTGTTGGTACAAAGTGCAAGCAGGAAGACACATGAATTTAATAATTTATACAGCAGCTATTCAAATCCATTCTAAAAACATGTTCTTATGTAAAGATTTTTAATTTGGCAAGAAATGTGCTTCCTTTAGACAATGGGCTTGGTTCACAGCAATACCTGTGTAATTAATGTTTATTTATTAAAAAGTAAAAAAACTGAGTCTGTAAATGTGGCTATTGACCCTGCTGCAAACCACTATGTCAGTATGTTTTGATACTTTTGAAAACGTAAATCATCTGCATTTAGTAGGAAAACAGATGACCTATCCTGATTCAAGCTGAAAAAGAGTGCTGTAATTGAAAAAGACCATTCTTGAAAAAGAATTGTGTTTGGTGCTGCAGGATGACAATGTAGCAATCTTTTTTTTCTTTAAACGGTACTTTCTCATGACCTTAATACAAAGAGTTCATGTTACTTGATTGTGAACTGGGCCCACTGTTTACAGTGTTATTATACATAACCAAAGTTCAGTGTAATTAACAAAACTGATCGAATTTGTTCTTTTGGAAGAAACAAAAAAGAGGCTGACTGCTTTTGCTGAGGTTTTGGAGAGCTGGCTTGGTACAGAGTGTTGCTTCTGTACCAATGCATTTTAAACGTAAGGAAATCACTGGCTGAAAGGCTGATGGCTAAGACAGTATTGTCAGTGGTAACATCTGATACTGCTGGAAACTAAGCTACCAATGATACAACACTAAATCAAGGTAGTAATGCATTAGTTTAAAGCTATGTAAATATTTATTTTAATGCTGCAGCGTCATAGCTATCATTTTTCACTGCTTTGATATCCAAGGATTCCTAATACTACACAAATGTATTTTATGTGCTTCAGTTTTCAGTTTCAGCACTTTCATTCAAAGCAAATATCTCCCATTTCTTTGTACTGCACTGAAATAAAGACTCTTGTTTCAGTACATAATGCTTTTCCTGTTCTGGTCTGTCTCTGTCAGTGTTTGTTTCTATGAGCACCAAATCATAGATACCAGCCCCTAGTGTCTAGCTCCTAGTACCCTGTCTCCCAGTTTTCTGTACATGCACACACCAAAGGCAAACCAGGCAACGCTGACAGACTACCTGGTGCCTCCATCTAAGGCTCTGTGGGGTCTGAGCAGCACTGACAGTGGTACCGGATCACTATGATTTCTGCAATATGATCTTCTTTTCTAGTAGATTGATTCAAATTAAGATTCTAGGTGGAATCTGGGAAAGTAGGCACTACCCTGGATTTCTCATTTCTCAGGAGACTGCCATAGCCATTGCGATTTTCTGTTGCAGGGACTGCTGTCACATTCTGTTCAGAGTACAAGAGTCCTAAACAAATGAACACAAATCCCCCTCTGATTTCCATCTAAAAAGCTTCTAACCAGGTCTACTGCTAAGTAGTTTTCTCTGTGGAGAGAGACTCATGTTCCCTTAGTTTGAAAATGAGAACACACTGCAGCAGAGAACATTTAAAAATAAAAAGTAAAGACTTGACAGGAGATGAGAGAAAGCTGAATCTCCTGAGATAAGCACTGGTCTTAGTAGCATGTGCTTTTCTAAGAGCTGTTTTATATGTTGTACCAGAAAGGTAGCTTTTGACTGCACAGGACACGGTGAGGTAAACAATAGCTGCTGCACTTTGACCCACACTGTTTCACATACAACACCTGAACAGATTTCAGGTGCAACGGGAGTAATGTGTTCAGAACAAGGAGAAAGAATCAATTCCCATGAAGAGCAGCTTTACCTTAATTTCAAAATTACTTACGTCCTCATTTTATTCTAACAGTATCAGAGCACCTCACTTTCACATTTTGCATGCTTTTTGCAAGACAATTATTCTACTTGATTATTATTTGAGTTCCCATTTTCACAGTATACACTTAACAAAAATCTGCATCTAAGAACTCAATATTCTTTTCACATATGCAGCTTCATAACCATCACATGAAGTAGGAAACAAATCTTAGTCCTGCTTACAGACAATGAGCAACTTTAATTGCTTACTGTGTACTGTATCACAAAAATTTAAATTCAGCTGCTGACTGCTAATTTTCATATTAGATTTCCTTTCCAAATATGCATTCTCTCTAGAGAGATATGCATGGAAATGTTCAGATGCGTTCCATGACAAGACTTTGCTAACACCTTTGGTGTTAAGTAACATAACAAAAAACTTAAAAAGACATTCTCTTTCCCATACTGGTTTCTTAACAGTACTGTCATGGTTTAGCCCCAGCCAGCAACCAAGCCCCACACAGCTGCTCGCTCACTCCCACACTAGTGGGATCAGGGAGAGAATGGAAAGGGCAAAAGCCAGAAAACTTGTGGGTTGAGATAAAGACAGTTTAATAGGAAAAGCAAAAGCCGTGTGCACAAGCAAAACAAAGCAAGGAATTAATTCCCTGCTCCCCATGGACAGGCAGGTGTTCAGCCATCTGCAGGAGAGCAGCACCCCACCACATGTAACGCTTA